ATTAAGCAGTGAATCTAATTTTTTTTCTTGATCATTTTATTAATACTGAATTAAAAAATATTTTTGCATTCATAATTTAAAAAAACATGTTATTGTTTTTTAAAATTTTATTTTATATCCACAAAATTTAGAAAAAAAGCAAAACGCCTAAAAATATAAAAGTTTTTTCAATTTTTTGTTAGTAAAATGCAAGGCGAAAGAAAATCTGTCGGATTAATCTTAATCACTCATAAAAACAACATAAATAAAACATTGGTCCGAAATATGTTTGTTTAGGTGTTTCCAACTTTTGAGGCCGGCCTTCCTTGAGGAAGCCAAGAGAAGTCTCAACATTTTTTATTTATATATTTTTCATTGATAACAATATATTAAATTTTGTTAAATAAAAATATAAGCATTGAAAATATTTCGGTCAACGATGAATTGTATGTGCAATGATTTCAAATCAAACTCACGATTTTTAATCCAAGTGTTTGACATTTTCTTAAGCTTTTAATCTGATTAATCTGGCCATAAAATAAAAACCAAATCTATTTTATGTCCCAATGTTTTTTATTAGAAACGGCTAGCCATCTTATGAGGTCAAGTATTTTGGTTCGTTCATGAAAATTTATGTCAACTGTTACAAAAATTAAATTCTATCGTTATGGATGATGCACCAACTATGTTAATCAAAACTAATTTTCCACAAACATTTGTCACACATTGTATCTTCCATCGTCATACCTTGGCAATGAAAACCTCACCAACAAAACTTATCTGTTTTGTTTACAGCCATAAAAATAGCTAATATTTAAACAAGAGTTGTCAATCACCGCGTATATTTAAGTTATTGCTACGCCAATGTAAGAATTCTTACCATGCTGTTTTGTTATACATCACAGAGGTCAGCAGGTTGAGCAAAGAAATGGTGTTTTCAAAAATTTAAGAGCCAATTTCTTTCTGTTTCTGCTGGAATTTTTTTCAATCAATCATTTTATGAATTAAATTCATTAAATTTATATAGACCAAATTCTAAGAATTCAACTGGGCCCATATCAACCTAAAACTCGCAAAACAAACAATTGAAAAAGTATCAAAATAATATATAAGAAATGTCATTATCAGCGCTATAAAAAGTGATTTTCTGATAAATTAAATAAACGAAAATTCTGATAAATTATTTAAAAAACAACCAAAATAATGTGTAATAATAATTAAAAAAATAATAACAAAAGAATATTAACATAATTATTGTTGTTATGTGTGAAACACTTGCAGGACCAGGTTAAGCCTTCATTGGATCCTAGACAAAATACTAAACCTTGGCCCTTACTTTATTTTAGCGGATCCTAGACAAAATACTAAACCCATTGAATTATATAATAGTTATTATTATTAGTTATATAATTTCATGACTAAACCTTGGACCTTACTTTATTTTAGAAAAATTACTACTGAAATATCAGCTACATATTTGATGTTTTGCTAAAATTGTATTTAATCTTTTTGTTCATTATTTCAAAATACATATTTTTTCTGCTTTTGTCGCACATTGTTGAAGGGTGTGTATAAAAATAACTACTATTACTGGACGGGACGTTAACTCGGAAGCATTTGCTTCATTATGTAATCACCCACAATCTAATATTCGTCCACTGTTAGATGGATCCTTCTATTCATAAAATGTAATAAATTGCTGTTCAAACTTTAAGTTGATTAATGCCAACAATTCGGTAGAACTCAAACAATACCGTATAAAATATGGTCTCCTTCCAATATATATAGATAGAAAGCATATAGAAATAGATATAGTTATATAGAGTGGCAATCTCAATTAAAAAATCCCAGAGGCTTTTGGTGATCGTGTCGTTCGTTAGCAACATTTTGCACGTTGATGCTTCTCGTCAGCTGAGTATGAGTTTATCTCCATGGCTTCTAACAAATCGAGGATATTAGTTTTGATGAATTTGAAAAGATTTCTGAGTTCTTTCAGGAGTGTTCATCGAATCGCTATCATTGGAGCTGGACCAGGTGGATTTTATGCTGCGCAACAAATTTGTAAGGCAAGTAAATTTAATTAAAAAATTAGTAATTACTTTATTTTTTTAATTAGTTTTTACTCTGAAGTCTTAATTAATTAAATAGGAAAATTAGATAGTAAAAAAAGTAGATCATGAAATTTTTTTATTAACCATGAAAATTGTATCCAATGAAGACTGAAGTACAACCCCCACCCCCCCGGATCTCTGCTAAAATGTCTAAACGTGTGTTGTTGTTGAAGACTAAAGTACATAGTATTTAAATATTTCTTAATTATTTTTTGAGTACAATAGGAGTATTTGGTGCATGGAGTCAAGTTATAGTAGTAATGTGACTGTAACAACTTTAAATTATAATAACTGAGTCTAAGCAGTTTTTACAAGTATTCAAATCTTTTTCCAACTGCTAATAGACATGTTCTTTCCATTTTAGAGATTTGACACATATATACTCAAGTCTTTTTCAAGTTTAGTTTTACTTAATTTCATTTTTTCTTTCTTATCACTTATAGTAATCATATCTAAGGCTATTCTTTCCATTATGAATTATTTTACATTTTTCTGTATCAAATTTTATTTGCCAATCCTTTGACCATTTAAAAATTTCATCTAAATAATTCTGTAAACTAGTATTATTAATTTAATAATTTTTTTATCTGCATCATATAGTTTACAATTATTTCTGACATTCATGGCAAAGTCATTGATGTACACCACAAATAGTTATGCTCCAAGTACTGATCCTTGAGGAACTCCACTCAGGACATCCATCCAGCTCGATGCATGTACACCTGCTTTCCTTTGTCTAAAAATGCTTTTTCACCAATCTAATCATTAACAAAAGATTCTCTAATTTGGTGCATAATCATACTCTTAGAACTATGTTTAAATGGAGTTATAAGTATTGTTAATGGTTGCAACCATTTATATAGAATAATATATATATATATATATATATATATACATGCATTTGCATTATAAAAAGCAAATTGCTTGGTAATTAGCATATTGTGCTAAGGGGTTAATGGCATATGTGTAATTAGTGTAAGGAGTAATTAGCATATTTTCTGCTATAAGGTAATTAGCATATGTGCTGCTGAGGGGTAGTTAGCATATTACATATTAATGGATTAAATTAAGTTATTGGAATCCATCATTAATACACCGCCCCTTGGTTGAAACTTGATGGTTGGATCTTTTTTGATTAAAATTGATTGAGGTTTATTGATTGTTAATCATGGTTTGAGTTGTAACTGATATTTGACGTAAAAATAATACAAACGTTTTTTGTTGCATGGCAATGGTTTAAAAATTGTTCATGCTGTGTTTAAAGCCAAATTTGAAATTGGGAAACAGTTATGTTCAATATTCTGATGAAATGTTGTTATAACATTGGCAATACATTTATTAGTTGATTTCTATGTCTATAGTTTATGATATATCATACAAATATTATAAATGATTGAAATGTATAATAACTCATTGTGATAATATTAGTGTGTGTGACCTATTTTAAATTTATTTGCTAAAATACTTTTGTTAAATTTATAAAAAAAAATGGTTTTTCAAATTCTTTTTCAATGTGCCTTGAACACTTATTTAGTTTTTAATATTCTCAGTAGTATAATTTTTGTTAAAGCTTATTTAAATTTTAAAACAATGAAAAGTTTTAAGAAAAAATTAAACAATGAAATAAATAGAAGTTGGCAACACAAACATCTTCACTGCCAACACATCATTTAATCATGATGGAAAAATGAAAAACCATGAAACAAATTAGTTTGAAAGTGTGAATGATTTTAAAAGGGTGATACCTATTTGGTGTACATGTATATATGTATAGATTCGTTCTGTTGAAGAATTTTTAATAATTTCATTAAGTAGAATTTAAATGGTTATAATAGTTAGAAATTATTATGTATTGCTTCAAAATTGCTATGTAACATAATTAGGAAAAACAATTTTTGTTATTTTGTAATTTCAAATCAAATTTTTAATACTGACAAAGATTAGAGCAAGGATTAGAAAGATTGCATTCGTGTACATCCGCTGTATTGCAGTGGCTGGTTGTTTGTGTATGTGTTTGTGTGTGTTTCAGTGTTCAGTTTCAAGTCAGTTTAATATTATTGTTTGGATTTAATAAATTTTCAACTAAAACTCTAGCAACAATAATTTTTTTTAATTTATTTTGTTCATTTATTTTTGGATTAGTTAATGTTTCCACTTGAGTCAATTCTTCTGCCGCACATTTTTAATATTTTCATCTTAACTCATTGATTAATTCCACCTGGTACCGATAAGTGACTCTATCGACATGTGGTTGGTTGTTTGTCACTCCCATACCCAAAAACTGCTTAGGTCGCTGCTCATTATTTTTAAGCCAATATTTTACAAAAGGCCTCCTGATTTTTACTGATCACAATTTGATGTGCGTAATTCAGCCAACATAGTTTGGCGATAACTGAAATTTTGTTTCCAAACCAAAGCCATATTGTAGCTTAGTTATTTTTTTTATTAAAATGAATCATTTTCATTTATCCAGAATATTCCAAGCGTCGAAGTGGATATTTTTGAAAAGTTCCCTGTTCCGTTTGGTTTGGTGAGGTATGGCGTGGCACCTGATCATCCAGAAGTTAAAGTTAAGTCATACTTTTTTAAGTCATACATATTAGTCTAAATTTACTTTCAAATAATGTTTATTTTACATATGGTAAAAAATAATTTACTAAACATTTTAAATTATAGAATGTCACCAACACTTTTACTAAGATAGTTGAAAGCCTGAACGTGAATTTTTATGGAAATATGGTTTTTGGTAAAAACTTGTCACTAAAAGATTTAAAGAAATGTTATTCGGGCGTTATTCTGGTTATATATTCATCTTCCCATTTTAAATTATTGTCGTAAATTGTTTTATATTTTTCAAAAGTCATATGGATCATCGATAGACAAGCACTTCAACATACCTGGCGAGGTCATTATCTCTTTTAGTTTGCGTTATAACATTATGACGTGATTGCTTAGATGTTGTTGCAAATTTGAAGCGTTAGTTTCTTTCGGTTTTATGTCTTGACACATGAACTTCTAGATAATAGACCAGGAGGTTCAACGCATTTTAATTTGTGCTCATGTCTAGGCGGACGCTTACACACTAAATTAGTATGCACGATATTTCAACCTAACACAACAATAACGAATTCAGTTTTTTAATTTTTTAATTTTGCTATTTTCAAATGTTGCATTTCATTATCTCATGTATGCCTCTTCTATTCCAACAGATGAAAAATGATTTACACAAATATAATTTCATGTCATGAGGATCGTCACAGTGATTTGGAAATATTAACAAATGAAATTTATTTTAAGAAATCGTTCTTTCAACTATTTATTTAAGAGAAGAATGCTTTGATTTTAGCTTCCAAAAATTTATTAAATGTTTAAAATTTTTTATCCCTAGGACTAAACCAAAAATTTTGAAACATTTTTTTCATGTACGTTCTGGTGACTCTAGTGGCGGATCTAGACAACTTTAGTGGGGGGGACTTAAATTTTCAACGGTGACCGGGGAGAGAATTTGAGAAAATATTTCAATGGGGGGGGGTCAACATTTGTGTCTGGCGACCATTTTTTGCCTATCACGTCATATTTTCGTCAAAAACGGTACTTTTTTTGTTAAAACCGTGAGTTTCACTGACTCCCTTAGATCCATCACTGACCTTTATTTATTCAATTTAAAAAAAGTCTGCATTGAGTTTCTTGTAGTCTTTCTCATTAGATGTCAAATAGTTTCGCATACGATATATAAGGCATTTCTCATACGTGACTTTATCTTTTGTAATGTTTTCTGATATATCATAAACGATGTCATTTTAATCATTGTAACTTGGTTTTTCATTTAAAATGACAAAGTTTTGAACTTCTTTTGTTGAAAAGTCTGATCTGAATGCATCAGAAACGTGATTGTTCTAATCTTCTAACAAACTACCTGCAACAGGCCATTCGATGGATACATCCAAAATTTTCGGTACAAAATCTTTCCAAGGATGAAATCGTTGGAAAATTTTTACTTAAATGGTTTAATACAATGCAAATATATTTTAATATGAATTTTTTTTTTTTATAAAGCACGGCTCTGTCAAACGCAGAACTGCTTGCACGTTATTCTATGCTTATAATTAAACTTTCGTGCACAAAGGCTTTACACCATCCACACCACACGATGCACATATACACACATTATGTATGCACGCGCAATCACCGCATCATACGGGTATGGTGGTCTTTGAGTTTCGGACAGACAGTATTCGAACCATGCCATCGCGTAATACCAGCGCGAGACATGGAACCCCTACTGACTGAGCTTACTTTGACTATAAGTTGAGACCAATTTTTTTTTTTGTGTTTCAAGTTTATCCCTCTTTTCAACAATTTCTTAAATTATTTGGCCTATAAAATTTTTAAATGATAAAAGAGACTTGCATTATATTTGTTGGTAAATTCTTCTTTCTTTTGGTCGGTCGTTGATGAACGATGGTAGTCGGTTAGTTACAATTTGGTGGTTGTTAGTGAACGTCTATGCAGTTGCGAGGATTTGTCTGTCATTAATTAATGTCGAAGAAGTTTGTAGTGTCGTTAACCAAGAGTTGTCTTCATTAACATTAATTATGCTTATATATATATAATTAATATTTTATCCTGACAATAATATGTATATATATAATTATATATATATATATATATATATATATATATTTTTACAATATTCTATAAATTCTACCGAATGTTTGGCGTTAATATGTTTGTAGTTCGTTTTTTCGATTTTTCTCACTAAAGTTTTTTGGTAAACGTTTAGTTTATTAAAATTCAAAATAAACTTATTTTTCGAATTCATGCTGCAAATAAGGCCATATTTCGATTCCGAATGAATCATCATCAGTGCTCCTTGCTGTATATATAGGGAAATATCAGTGCTCCTTGCT